TCTCCATGTCTCCTGGGCACAGCAGGGCTTTTGACCCGTGGCAGGTGGCTCCGAGGGCCTTAACCTTCCTACTGTCGATTGTTGGGGAGGGGGCCACTTCCGCAACGGCCTCTGCTCTCCGAGACCAGCCAGGAGGCGCCCCCGAAGCCCGGGAAGCTCCCTCCGCCTGCTCTGCCCACCCCTCGTGGCCGTCGCCCTGCCTGCCGCTGCCGCGCTCCCCCCCAGTGGGCTGGACGAGATCGGGGGGCTCGGCGACCTGCTCGACTGGACCTTCTTAACCGAGCGAAGGACCGCGCCCGCCCCCCTTCGGTCTGATGCAAAATGGGTCCTGGGCTGCAAAGCGTTGCGGAGCTACCGATGGTGAAATGGGAGGCTGCCTGGGGGCCCTGCTTGATGCCAACGCCCCCCCCCAGTCTGAAAGGGTGGCCCCCCTCTCTTCAGCTGTGCGACTGCCACCACCGCCGTACCTCGTTCCCAGGAGTCTAATGGCATCTCTCCCTCAAGCGGATTCCAGCAGGCCGAAGGTGTGCAGGGAAAGCACGCTCCTTGCCCCCCCCCCCCGTCTGCCCACGTTGCTGCTGGCATTTCTTACGTGATTCCGTGTTTTTGTTTTTATGCCCTAACGGGATTTTCCTGGTGTGCATTGGCTACTTTGGGGTCCAAAATAAAACAGTTGTCAATGTGGTTTTGCTTAGCTGATCTCCATCTCATCTTGGGGCGAGTCCTGTGGGAACCTGGCATTATCTCAGCCAGCAGGACCACCAAAACAATGTTGCAGTTGATAATTTTTGCTCTCAGGAAAGGAGCATCTGATCCTGCGGTCGGATCATGCCCTCCTAAAACTGCAGCTTGACAGAAAACTTTCCAATCTTCTTGGCCGTTTTTCTTTACTAACCTTTCAGAACCACAGTGTCTTTCCAGAAGACCGGTTCTTGTTTAACCTAAAGAGCAGCCCGCTCACCTCTTTTTCAGGTAAGGAGCTCAGCCAAGACAGGAGTTGCCCCCACTTTATTTAAAAACACAACCCCCCCCCCAGATTTGCTAGGAGGGGCACGAGAGGGGGTGGCTTGGGAAGGCTACAGAGACAGAAGAAGGGAAAGGAGAAGCACTCTGGTGTAGGCAGACAGTGGGCGAGGCACGCGGGCATTAAAGGACCCCTGACAGCTGCTGAAATCTTTGGTAGGCGAGGAAGCCCCTCCCCTGGCTCAGGTTACCCAACTGTCCCCTCTTCGAGGCTGGCAAGAGTCCGCCACCCCTGCAGAACAGGCTTTGGCAAAGGAAGCTGGGCTGCCCCCTTCAGCGCAGAGGAAGACGGGCAGATCTTTGGGCTGAAAGCTTGGGCGGGCAAGCGGAAGAGGCCCCTCCCTGCCGAAGAGGGCCTGGCCTGGCCTGCCCATCCGTCCGGTGCCCAGGAGGGCCGGGCATCTGGCGCTTGCTTCCCCCAGGCGTCATCCCACTACTTTTCCAGCAGGGAGCGCTGGAGAGCCTCCTTCAGCTGCTCCTCCTCCTCCTCCTGCCTCCGCTCCTCCCGTTCCTGCTGTTCCTGAAGGGAGAGCACCATGGCCAGCTGCAGATCCCGGTCGAAGGTGGAAGAACCACGCAGGGGAGGGTGGTTCCCGCTGCTTGCCAGGAGGCTCTCCTGCAGGGCCCTGCACGGGGGAGAGAAGCGCTTTCTGACGGGGCCTGGCAGGCCGGATAAGGTGCCCCTAGCCAGGATCTGCTAGAGCAGGGGTCTCCAAATCTGGCAACTTTTAAGACTTGGGGGAGGGTCTCCCTGCTACATTTTCCCCAACACTGCTACTTGGGGGATGGAAACGGGGGACAGACCAGGCCCTTTCCAAAGTGAACAAGGCGGCAGCTGCCAAGAGCCTCTGCCAGCGGGTGGAAGCGGGCGAGCTGGGCTAGAGCCAGGAGGGTTTTGGCTCCCCTCCCGCACACCAGCCTGGGGTGCCCTCGCTGGCCTAGGTGAACCCCTGGGGAGCCCTAAAGAGGACTGTAGGCAAGGTCGCCAGCATCCTTCGGCTCTTGGCCTCACCTTTGATAGTGGAGTTGGAGATCCTGTGAGTAGGAGACGTCCCCGTTCAAGGCTGTCCCCAAAAGCTCCTGGGAAGACACAGAGGTCACAGGGAGCTCGTCCCTGCAGCTTCAAATGGGGAGGATGCCTTGATCCCTGGGATGACCCACTCCTCGGTGGGCCACCTTCAGAGCAATCCCCAAAGGCGCCTCTGTGGTCTTTGGTTGCAACATAAAGCCCGGCGTGGGTGCCTCAGGGAGATGGCAAGGCCAAAGGGCAGCCTGGTGGGCCACGCTCTTGGCCACGTGGAGGACAGGGACCGAAACTCACCTGGTTGTGGCCGGACTCCATCAGGCTCTGCTGGATGGCAAACTGCATGATTTCGTTGTCTTCGTCTTGCACGTGCAAGTTCCGGCCATCGTCTTGGACCCGGTAGGATTTGGGGATCTCAAAGACGGAGGGGTCCACCACAAAGGGGGAGGCCGGAGCAGCTGGAGGGAGGAGGAGGGCTCTGATCAGGACAGCCGCCAACACATTTGGGGATCCGAACGGACTGTAGTTCCCGTCGCCCTCCTTGCCCGGAGGCTACAGACCACTCTCCCAGCCCAGTGCCCAGGGCAGCTCCCTCACCAGCGGTCGCCTGGGGGCCTTCGGGGCCCTGGGGCGAAGCCTCTTCCAGGGTGCTGCAGCTGTTTACGCGTCCGAAGGTAATCCTAGCGTTCAGGATGTGGAACAAGGGGATTTCTGTGGGGAGGGGAAAGGAAGAACTGAGGAGCAGGGCCCCCAGTCATCTTTGCCACCACATTGGGCTTGTGATGTGTTCCGGAGTGGAAGGGCAGAGCCGAAAGGCCGTACCGATTTTAACCGGAAACCCAGGAGGGAAGTCCAAGGTGATGAAGTCCTTCAGCCGAGCAAAGTGGGCACTGGTCCTGGCCATCAGGTCCACGATGGGGGAGACCTGCTCCACGAGGGAGAGCGGGAACTCTTCCGACATCCACAGATTGGCTTTAAATCTGGGCGAGAAAGGCAGGATGGCTGCATGGGTGGGGCCCAATCCTACGGGGAGGGGGGGGCTTTGTTCCCTTGGGACCCTTTTCTAAGGGCCCCCCACCCAAGCCAGAGAGGCGGTGGGAGATTGATGAAAGGAGAGCTGCTTGTCTGCCACGTGGAAACAGGAGCCCCCCCCCACCCAGATGCTCCCTCTTCCGAGTGGGTGCTGCCTCTTCCTGGGGGAGCAAATCGGGGGGGGGGGAATATGCAGGTTGGGGGCCAAACCACGAAGAGAACCGGGGGAACCAATGACTTTACTTCTGAGTCCGAATGGTCACTTCTTTCGGCCTGCCAATATCTCTGTCCTTCAAGTCGAACTGAGGGTCGAAGTATTCCTCTGGCGTGAGAGCTGTTGGGTTGTTGGTCGAGGCAAACTCTGTTGTGAGGTCCTGGGGAAAGGGCAACGTGAGGGCCCTCAGGGGCGGCTCCCTCCCCCAGAAGGGCTGAGAGCAGGAGGGGTGAGGGGCGGAGGACGGCAAAGGCAGGGCTTGGAGGGCCCCGGGAGACTCACCTGCTGGGCTCCGTATTCGTGCTCAATGGTGCCCAAGAAGGACTCCAGGGGGTTTCGGTCAGCTAGGAGAAAGGGAGAGTGGCCAGTCACTCCCAGCTGCCTCCCTCTCCCCCCACTCTGGGACTTTCCACCAAGACACCCCCCCCAGTCACCCTCCGCAAGGCTACCTTTGTATCTTCTCTTCTCCTCGTCGGTCAAATGCTCTGTCCGGATCCTGGTCACCACATTCACGTTGTTGGCCGTGAAGACCTGGAGAAAGGAGGAAGAAGCTGAGATCTGCCCAGGCAGCCGGACAGCCTGCTTGCAACCTCCTCAGAGCAGAGGAACAAAAGGAGACCCTGAGCGGGGCAGCTGGCAGGGCAAAGACGCCGGGCGGCTTCTCACCTTGGCTTCGTAGTCGTTCACCACTTCGCTCCTCTCCGTTTTCCAGACCCAGAAGCCAGAGGTGTTTCTGCAAGGCAAACGTCTGTTTCCAGGCCTCTGACATTCTTGGCCCAGGAACAACTCAACGCTCCTCACGCTCTCTTACCCCTTGGGCACCTCTTGGGGGCCGGGGGTGGGTTACAAGGAAATAACAGGAGACAACGCAGCCAGGGTCCCTTCCTGTCCTACCTTTCAAAGGCGATGTTCCTGGTGTCCAGGGAGGTGCTGAGGATGGGAGAGGTCAGCCGTCGCTCCACCTCCTTGTTCTTGGGCACCATGGAGTCCAGGGTCAGCCGCTTGATCTGCTGGGTGATCTCAAAGCGTTCGGCCGCCACCACTTTGTCATCATGGTTAACCTCAATCAGCTCAGCCCAGTGCCCGGTATCTGGAAAGCCAAGTGGGAAGGGCTGGTAAAGGGGTTAGGGTTAGGGTTCCTCCCCCCCCCCCACCATCACCCCATGGAACTCTGGCACTTCTCACCTTCCCCTCTGAAAATCAGGCTGCGTCTCCCTCGCTCCCAGCTCATGTTCTCAAAGCCCAGCAAGGTGATATCCACTCGCAGCTTTGCGCCACTCTTCCAGATGCGGCAAACATCACTGGGGCAAACTCTGGACACCAGCGGGACTGTCGGGAGATGCAGGGAGAGCAGAAGAGCTAAAAGATGCTGGTTGGCCACAGGAATCCACACAATTCACAAAATGAATGCTAGTTTCCCAGGCTGAGAGGGATAGCATGAAATTGGCCCAAGAGGGCAAATAAACAAACAAACAAACAATGGCAAGTTAATTCAGACTTACCCCAGCTGGTGAATTCCCACTTCATTTCCACATAAAAATCTGGAGTCTTTGGGAGCAAATAAGACAAGAATCAAAGGGGAATGGGGAGGAGAAAGCATGATTTGGCTTGCAATGAGCTCTACAGTTTGAGCCTGTGGCATCAAGGGATGAGAAATCAGTACCTCCCGTTTTGGGGAACGGAAACGTTGTTCAGCTAATGGTGCAAGTCTGAACACGTGTACTCAAAAGTAGCCCAAAGGCTGACTCTTGGGTAGGTAAAAGCCTTGTGGCTTTCAGGAGAGATTAAATCAGCCTAGCAAACAAGGGCAATCCGTGTCTAGACAGCCTTAGAACAGGGAGGCTAACGGAAGGCCCAGAAGGTTTTCACCCAGATTGTTTATTCTTTTCTGCTCTTCAATTTACCTCACTGATCTTCTGAAGCAATTCGGGGACACCACCAAGGGTGGTGGACGTCTGCTGGTAGTCACGGTGTTGAAGGACCATGTGGACTATTTCCGGATCGCCGGTGCTGATGGCCTCGTGCAAGACTGGCAGAAAGAAACACAGAGCTAAGTCTACAGGAGAGAAGCAGCGCTTGCAATCTATAGGAGTTCAGCCTTGGGCCCTACGGAGGTGCAGCATTTAGCTCTGGTCTCCAACCACCTCCATTTCCTTGCCACCTGCTCAGATTCTTGCTGGGGGGGGGAGGCTCACCTGTCCAGCCCTGGGCGTTCTCCTTAGTGACATCCGCCTTGTGCCGCAACAGGACGCGGACAGACTCCGCGTACCCCAAGGAGACCGCCAGGTGCAACAAGCTTCGCCCGCGGGAATCCTGCTGGTCGACATCCTGGGAAAAGGAGAGGGAGAGCTCTTCTGAGGACCCCGAGCCCATGACGGGCACGGACAGGACGGTGACCCTTTTCCAGACACACCATGAAACCTATGGAAGCAGCTCCAGCCCTGCGACGGCGTTGCTTTGCTCCGACACACACAGACAGGCAAGCTCAGAGATGAGATAGCGCCCCGGGAGACCCCTCCTCGCTTTCCTTCCCTCGGCCAAGAGAAGCCCTTTCTCGGGGGGGGGGTGCTGAGGTTCCACCTCCTCCTCCTAACCAGATTGGGGAGAATTTGGGGAGTGGGAGAAGGAGAAGCCACTTCTCAGAATGGGGGGGGGTGTTCTTCCTCCTCTTCCTCCTGATCCCAGCCAGGCCTGGGGGGGGGATTTGGGGAGTGGCAAAAGGGGGCTCCTCCCCAGCCGGACCTTCCGCCTCCGGCCGCAGCAGATGCCAACCACGGGGGACCCTGCTGGGGAGGGGGCGGCCAGGGCTGGCGGGGGGGGCTCCCTCTCCCCCGTGGGCGCCCTTCCCGGGCAACCCGGGGGGGGCGAGAGGGCGGCCTCCCCGGCCGCGGATGATGGGTGTGCTCTCGGCGGATGGGATGCGCACAGAGACGATGAGCGCCCGGACGGCACGGATGCGAGCGCGGCCGGCATGCGAGGCCCGCGCCCCTTACCTCCGCCTCCGGCTTCAGCTCGGGGGGCGAGCTGCAAGAGAAGAGCACCTGCGGCTGAGGCGGCCCTGGCCGAGCCCCGGCGCCCGCGGCAGTCTACCTGAGCGCCGCCCCCGCCTCCCCCCGCGCTACCTGGCCCTGCAGGGCGCTCTCCAGCTGCCGGAAGTCGTTCCGCCAGACCAGCAGGTGCAGCGGGAACCGGGCGGCGGCGCTCATGCTGCGGCCCCGACTCCTACGCCGCCCGGCCCGCCATGGCCCGGCCGGTGACCACCGACCCGCCTGCTGCCCTCCGCCCGGCCCGTCGCTGCCCTCGCCGCCGCCGCCGCCGGGCCCGGAAGAAGGGAGCTCCGCCCTGCGACGCCGCGGCCCGGCGCTCCCCGTGACGCCCGGCGGGCCATCTTGGGTCAGGGCAGCGGCAGCCCCGCTCCTTGCGCGGCCGCCATGTTGACGAAGGGCGCCGTCGGCCTCCGCGCTTGTCGCGGGCCAATCGCGAAAGGCCGCCGCGGCTCCTCCCACTCGCGGTCATTTTGGAAAAGGGCAGCCCTCAGAAGCGGGTCCCGAAGAGACCTGGCAAGGGACGCTTTTTTGGGGAAAAGAGAACGTAGCGTTTTCCGGTTTTAGGGAGAGTTAAGGATTCGATTGCGGGCAATTTCTCCCTCTCCTCTTTCCGGTGGTCTTTTTCGCTTCCTTTCTGGCAAGCGGTGGTTTTGCCCGTTTTAGAGATGGCCGCGCCTGCTTCCCTTCGCCCGGCGTCGGCATGGCCCGCCCCTCCCCGAGCCTCGCGAGGGTTGCCCGCGCGACGTACGGAAGCGTCTTGGCGAATGGCGCCGCTTGCGCAGCGAGGAGCGCCGACGGCGTGCGCGTGCGCGGCGAGGGTGCTCCGTGACTGGCGGGGCGGAGGGCGACCTGCGAGCGGCGGCGACCCCGGCCCGGCCCGCCATGTCCAAGCGGCTGCGGAGCAGCGACGTCTGCGCGGATTGCAGCGCTGCGGGTAGGCCGCGGCGGGGGAGGGGGGGGGATCGCCCGGGAAGAGGAGCCCCGCCCGGGGTCACTGCCGGGGAATCGGGGCCCCTGAGCTTGTGCAGAGCGCCCCGAGGCCGCCACAGGGACGGGGCGACGGCGCCCTTCCTCCGGCGGACTGCCACTCCCGTGGTCCTCGGCCGGCCTGAGGGGGCGCCGGGCCGGATCTCTGGGGCGGGACTGTCCCCCTCGGGCCCTGCCCAGCCGGGGGGAGGAGGGCTTCCCTGGCCCCGCGGGAGGGTCCCCTGCGCCCGGCCCAGCCCCTCTCGGGCAGGGGGACCCCGGGGGGGGCGGTGCTGCTGCTGCCGCCGCCGCCGGCCGGCTTCCCATTTTCCTCCTCCTCCTCCTCCTCCTCCCGGCAGAGCCGAGCTGGGCCTCCGTCAACCGCGGCGTCCTGCTGTGCGATGAGTGCTGCAGCGTCCACCGCAGCCTCGGCCGCCACATCTCCCAGGTGCGGCACCTGAAGCACACCGCCTGGCCCGCCACGCTGCTGCAGGTACACGGGGGGGGGACACAGCCGGGCGCAGGGCCGGCCCAGGAAGAGACCCAGGAAGAGACCCAGGGAGGGAGGGAGGGGGCTGCTTAGAGGGTGGCGACCCTCCCAGCCCTCCTCCCTTGACAGCTGGAGTCCACCCGTCCCGGCTGGAGAATTCTGGGAGTTGAAGTCCCCCCCCCCCTTCCTGTCACCGAGGTTGAGAAACTCGTCTTGGAGGAGGATTTCCTGCTGCTGCTGCTGCTGCCCAGAAGGCAGAGCTGCCCGTGCCAGGCCTCGCAGCAGCGTTCCTCTCTCTCCTTTCTCGCTTGGTCTTGGGCATTCAGTGCAACTAGCAATAGTAGATTCCCTGGCTCTGCTTTTCTGGGCATGGCGTAAAACAACTGAGGATGATGGAGTAACATATTGTAATCAGTTTTATGTTGCAATATGAAACGAAAGGCCTTTAAGCAACAATCTCCGTGTGCTTAAGCTGGTGGGTGAATGTTTATGCGAAGGTTTCAAGGGCTGGCAAAAGGAAGCACGTTTTAGTACTTCTCTTTAAATGTCAAGCGATGCTCTTCCGACTGCCTCGCTTCAGAGAAAGCTCCTCGAAGCCACCGTGGAGGAGGAGAAGAGGCAGCTCCAGAGCTTCTTGTGCTTTGTCTTCTGTTTGGCAGATGGTGGAAACCTTGTATAACAATGGCGCCAATTCCATTTGGGAGCATTCGCTGCTGGACCCAGCCTCGGTCATGAGCGGACGGCGCAAAGCAAACCCTCAGGACAAAGTGCAGTAAGTGTACACACCCTGTGAAGCCCCTTTTGGGAATATGCAAATTCTCCATTTGTGATTGGTCTGAAGTTCAGTCTCGCCATCCCACCTGCACCAAATCAGGGGATGCCCTGGAAAGAAACACGCTGAGGATGAAGAGCTTGGCCGGGTTGGTCCTGTGGTCGCAGCTCTACCAGTTGATCTTTCGTGATTGTCTGTCTCTGGCTGCCCCGCGTGCTGCCCCCTCCCCTGCCACTCGGGTCCGTAGCAGGAGAGACCCCCTCGGCCTTCCTGGGCTCTTGTGTTGCAGCCTTTTCCTCTTTCGCATCCTGCAGCCCCAACAAGGCAGAATTCATTCGGGCAAAATATCAGATGTTGGCCTTTGTTCATCGCTTGCCGTGCCGGGATGACGACAGTGTGACTGCCAAGGACCTCAGCAAGGTAGATTCGCCCCTGGGCAGGTGGCGGGAGGGCCCGAGGCGTCCGGCTCTTCCAGGGGCCATCGTGCGTAGCTTCGGCTGATTAGTGAAGCGTTAGGCTTAGGGTTAGACGGTCCTGAGGCCTCTCCTGCCTTTGCTTCCAGCAACTCCACTCCAGTGTCAGGACTGGCAACTTGGAGACCTGTTTGAGGCTTCTCTCGTTGGGAGCACAGGCCAACTTCTTCCACCCGGTGAGAGAACGGCGGAGGGTCTTTCTGTAGCCCCAGACGGGTTTGGAGTGGAGGACGTGCAGTTGAGCCAGCCTCTCTTGGCCCCTTCTGTAGGAGAAAGGGAACTCCCCGCTTCACGTTGCTGCCAAGACTGGGCAGATTTTGCAAGCTGAGTTGTTGGCTGTGTATGGAGCTGATCCTGGCACCCCAGACTCCTGTGGGAAGACACCGGTGGATTATGCAAGGTGAGCCCTTTTTCGCCAGTGGAGGGGCTCTTTTGGTAGCTGCTGCCCTAAGGGCAGGTTTGGTGACTCTTCTGGCCTTTAGGGACGAAGGCCTCCCCCCAGAGTAGAGCCCCCTTGGGAAGAATAGCAGAAGAGGGTCCAATTAAGAACAGAGCTAGGCAGCACCCCACCCCCTTTGTTGTCCCCTAGGGGGCCCACGTCAGTGAATTCTGAGTGCCTCTCTGACCCCTTTTTCCACTAGGCAAGGAGGCCACCATGAGCTGGCCGAGCGCCTGGTGGAAATACAGTATGAGCTCACCGATCGGCTGGCCTTCTACCTCTGTGGCAGAAAACCAGGTAACTGGATGTTTTGGGTTGGCAGGATCATCCCGGTTCTCCTCTCTGCTTGATCTGGGCCACTCCACCCCTTTTCTCTGCCCCTCAGTCCAGGTGGGCAGCTTCAGAGAAGGCCTGCTGCTTCCCCTCCCTGATGCGCTTTTGAAATGTTCTTTTTAGATCACAAAGGCCGGCAGCATTTCATTATACCTCAGATGGCAGACAGGTAAGAACATGGCTTCGGACCTTGAGAATTTTTGGCAAAACTTATTTCCAAGAGCAACGCCCCAAATGTGGGGTCTTTCGGTTTCCTTATTGTGGCTCCAACGTGCATTTGTTCAGCTGCTGAAAACAAAGCTGAGCCTGGCGTCTCTTCGTATGTCGATCCCAACCCATTCTCCTTAGCCAGCAGGATCAAACTGGGAGGGCGATTTTAGCTCTCTAGGCTGGGCAGAACAAAATAAACACGGCTTAGAACAATCACATAGGAATAATCACACAATCTTTTTCGTGTTCATGCTGAACCCCGAATCCTGGGAATTAAGGGAACGGCAAGTGTGTTTTTTAGGTTGCCGCCTCCTGCTTGTGCAACGTGTTTTGTTTTGGTGATGTTGACTTGCAGCCTGAGCCGCCTACACAAGAGCCAGAGGAGACGAGACAGATAGAAAGATAAAATGGCTCATTCAAATTAATGATTTAGCGAGACAAAATCAAAAGCTGCTTTCAGTTGTGTGTTGTTGGAGTCTCCTGTGTGACCAGGGTTTGCGTCAGGACCTCCTCTGGGGGTTTGAAGTGGAGGTGACGCCCTGCAGAGGGGAGAGCAGGTTTCCCATCTTGTTGGGGGTGGATAGATAAGACTTAACTGGCTAGACCTCTCCGAAACAGACCATACGGGGGTTGGTTGTTTGGGGGAGGGGGAGAGGCCGTAGGCATGGAGCATTGTTCAATCTGTGGAGGTGATTTGAGAATAAAGCAGTTGAAAAGGAGGATGTGAAGTTCAAGAAGGAAAGAGCAAGCGTACCTGACATCTTCTCCGCATTCACACACACAAGCACGCTTTCTCAGTTGCTCTGCCTGGCTCTGGTCTTCCAGGGAAAAGGGGTTCATGTTCTGAAGGGCTGTTTGTTTTCGTAGCAGCTTAGATGTCTCGGCGCTGGCCAAAGCAGCCAAGAAGAAGCTTCAGTTGGTGAGTCTGCTCGTTTCTCCATTTTGGCCTGGAAGGAGGGCAGGAAAGCCCACTTTTGAAAGGAGGGGCTGCCTTCCCCAGCTCCCCTCCCTCCCTATCCCACCTTTTGCCCTGGGAAAAGAAGGCAGCCCTCCTGGCTCTCAGACATTTCCCAAAGGAGGGGGAGCTGCTTCCGGTTAAAGCCCCCAGCCAACGACCGCAAAGGCTAGGCCGGCCCTGTCTCAGGCCCAGCTTCACCCTTTGGTCCTTCCCTCCCTCTTTAGTTGACCAATCACCTGTTTGAAGAGCTGGCCATGGACGTCTACGACGAGGTGGACAGGCGGGAGACAGACGCAGGTGCTTCCCTCTGGCAGGGCTGCCCACAAGCTAGGGTAGCTGCCTGCGGGGCCCCACTCCACCTCTCAGCCCCCTCCCCCTCGATCCAAAATGAAGCCACGGTCCAGATTAGCAACGGAGGGAGGGGTTTTCTGTTGGTGAGGGGCAAGGCTGGGATTTAGGGAAGGGCAGATAACGCAGAAGGGAACTTTACACACCCCTGACCTTGCCCTCTTCTCGCACCAACAGTGTGGCTTGCGACCCAGAACCACAGCACACTGGTCACCGAGACAACTGTGGTCCCTTTCCTTCCTGTCAATCCGGAGTACTCCTCAACAAGGAACCAGGTGCGAATCTCCGGTGATTTCTCCGGCAGTTACAAGAAGCAGCAAGCGCCCCTTTCCACTTGTTTGCAGGGCCAAGTTTTCCCCCAGCTGAAAAATGGCAGCAGTCGTCCATTTGGGCCTTGCAAATCCATCCGTCGGGTGGGGGTGGGGGCCTCAGTGCCAGCCTTCCCATGCCAAGATGCTGCAGGCAGCCATTAGAAACGGGGTCAGGGTTCTGGAGTTAAAAAGGGAGAAGGGGGAGAATGAGTCGGCTGCCAGAAGGGGCTAGTTTGGAAAGCCCAGAATCTCTGCAGAAAACAGCCCCGCCCTGGGTGGGGAGGAGCAGTCTCCCCGCGTGCCCCAGCCTGCCCTGAAGGCCCCTGAAAGGCTGTCCTCCTTGGTGTCTCCAGGGAAGGCAGAAGCTGGCCCGCTTCAACGCCCACGAGTTTGCCACGCTGGTCATTGACATCCTGGGGGATGCCAAGCGAAGGCAGCAGGGGAACCCTGTTCCAAGTGCCACAGGTGAGCCCTCCAGCACCCTGGGAGCTGCAGCCCACAAGGGCCCCCCTCCCGTAATGGCCTGGAGGTCAGAGGAAAGGGCTGCGAGGGAGGGGGATTGCGGGAGGAGCATTGCAGGAGCAGTTCTGGGGAAAACGGAGCAGAGAGGGAGAAGGCCCAGAAGGGTCCCCTGGGAGAAAGCCCCTCTCTGCCACGGCCTCCCTGCTTTCCCAGGCGGTTGGGAGAGGCTCTCCAAGCAGGGGCCACCGCTGCAGGGGTTGCTCTCTTTGGCCTCAGAAAATGTGGAGCTGATCCTCAAGTCAGTCAACTGCCAGCACGGTCCAGAGGCCGACCAGCCTGACTACGACAGCGTAGCCTCCGACGAAGAAGGCGATCTGGAAAGCAGCTCAGGGAAGGCCTCTCGGCAGAAGGTGGGTGAAGACAGACGGTGGCAGCCTGTGGAGGGGGCTGGAGAGGCCTTTTCTTGTGGGCCTGGACGCCGCCCTCTCTGCCCAAAGTCCCTGGGAGGACTTGAGACCGAGCCTCCCCCCCTCCTCCCTTGCATTCTAGCAGGAGCCCTCCTGAGGTCTCTGGAGCGCCTCAGCTGAACCCCGTCTGACTTGGGGCACATCGCTCTAAGCGGGTGGGTGGGTGGGGGAGAAAGCGTGTGCAGGCGTAAAAGGGGGACGGGCTTTTTGCAGAGCCTGGACTCTGACTTGTCTGACGGCCCCATCACTGCCCAGGAATACCTGCAGGTGAAAAACGCCCTGGTGGCCTCGGAGGCGAAAATCCAGCAGCTTTTGAAGGTGAACGTCAACTTGAGCGATGAGCTGAGGACCATGCAGAAGAAGGTAGCCCTGCACTCCACACCCTGCCCGCCCTGCAGGGTTGCGCCTCTTCGGCCACCGGCCGGTCGAGCAGAATCACCAGGGTTCCTCCTGGTGCAGGGAAAAGGGTGGCCTGTGCGGAGCAGCGTTTCCCCCGGGGGCCTCCAGGCGGGCCGAGGCTGAGCTCCCACCACCCCTTGCGGGTGCAGCCCTGCGCTCTACGGGCGGGGATGATGGGGAATGAAAGACCACCCATCTAGAGGAGCCTCGGGTGATGTTTAGGGGGCTGGTGAGCGATTTAGCTTGGAGTTCAGATTCCCACGTGCCATTGGTATCCCGAGGGCAGGTGGGCCGTGGCCCTCCTCTCTGCTCTTCCCTCCTTCTCGGCCTCTTTTTACTTCCTCTCCTGCCTTGCCATCCTTCCTCCAGCTGACAGGCTGTGGCCCAGAACTGCCCAGCTTCAGCCCAGGGCAGCCAGCAGATCGCCAGGCAGAGCCGGCAGCAGCTGCAGGTTCCTGTGTTGAAGAAAAAGAGGAAGCATGGCAGTCCGCAGCCCCCCACCCCCACCCCACCCCAGTGGAGATGGGGAACTTCAGGAAGTGCTTTGGTGGCCCTTTGGGGGTCTTTCCTCAGGCTGCACGCCCTCCTCCCTGCCCCCAGCAGGCCACCCCCATCCTTCCTGCCAGAGGGGATACAGGCAGGGCGCCTGGGCCACGCTCCGGGGGCCGGTTTCTGTGTTTCAGATACGCAGGGAGGGGGTTGAGGTGGGGGGAGAACTGAGGATCCCATTCGAGTTGCAGTCCCACCTCCCAGCGAGAATCTGCCTCCCGAAGCAGCAGCCTTGGAGAAGGGGGTCCTGCTGCCTTTCCAGAGGGGGAGAAGACGCTACCGAGCCCACCCTGGGTCCTCCACAGGGTTGCTTCTTCTTCTCAGTGGGGAGGCAGCTTGCCAGGGCTGTGGGCAGTTTCTTTAAAGGCTCAATGAATGTTAAGTGTCCGTCATTTGTGGAGGAGCCTAGTGGGCAGAGCAGGGCCCTCTTGGCGGTTGGGCGCTGTAGCCACTCGCCCTTTTGTCGGGTCCTTCCGCTTGAAGGCCTTATAGGAAATGGGTTGTGTGCCGGCTTCCTTCTGCCTCTGGGCCTCCTGCTTTGGCCAGTAGCTTCTCTCCCCTTTCCTCCCCCACTGCGGCTTCGGCATTTCCACACTTCCCCTCCCGGCTTGCAGCTCGTCCCTCGCCGTTCCACACAAGCGTCCTTCACTCAAGAAGTGTTGCTCAAGCCACCGTCTCTTGGAGACGTTGTGGGAGCTGCTGAGCCCAGCCCGGCCCTTGAAACGTGGCTGCCGAGTTCCCCTCTCTTTGGTCTGGAGGCCTGAATGTGGCCCTCTTTAAAAACGAAGCCAAGCGTGTGGGACGATTCCACATTTCATTCCAGCTTCAGACCCTGCAGAGCGAAAACTCGAGCCTCCGACGGCAGGCCGCCCCCAACCCCTACCCGGCTCCGGCTGGCTCCGAGTACGCGGACAGGCCCTCCGTGCGCCGGCCCTCCGTGCGCAGCAGCCGGCCCATGTCGATGTACGAGACGGGGTCCGCCCAGAAGCCCTACCTGCCCCTGGCCGAAACCTCTTGCCCCGAGGAGTACACCACGCCCCGGCTCCAGCTCTTCCACGTGAGTAACGCAGCCGCCCTGTCGCCTTCCGGCTCGCCTCCTGCTTTCTCTGCAGTCAGCCCTGCCTGCGCTTTCCCCGATTGTTAGGAAATCGGGGGATCTCTGTAAACCTCTGTAGAAAAGGCTCCTCCTCGCTCTCTTCCCTGCTGCCCCAGCCCAGGCAGCTCCCACAGGCCCTTTGCAGTTCCCAGCAGCTCCGGACTCCCCCAGCCCACCAAACCTGGTGATTATCTGGTGGACGGGGGGGGGGGGGTTGTTTTTCCCAGCCTCCTTGAGAATGCTTGGCAAAAGGCAGGACCGGCTTCCCTCCTGGGAAGAGACCGGCGGCAGTGAGGGAGAGAGAGAGCGTGGCTGCCTCTGGCTGGGGGGGTGTGTGTGACTCCTCCATCAGTGGGTGGACTCCATCTTTCCCCTCTCGTTTTCCCTTCCAGATGTCCCGACTGGAGAAACAGAGCAGCTTGCCCGAGGGGGATTACGACAACACCGCCCCTGGCCTGGAGCTGGACGAGACAGGGTAAGGGCCAAGGCTTGAGTGTCCGGGACCCTCGGTGATTTCTGGGTTCCACCGAAGGACTCCCTCGAGGCCTTTACATGCTAGCTTGGGCCCGAGAGAGACGGGGTTACACTCTCTCTTCCTGGGGAGGAGATGGAGTAGCCAGGGGCCCGGGGGAGCCAGTCTGGGGCTGCAGCACGTGCCTTTTGGCAGGCTCATCAGGAAGGCAAGGCAGCGGAGCGGCCTTGGGCCAGAGGGCAAGGACCCCGAGGCCCACCCCAGCCCTGGCTTCCCCAGCACCGAGGATGTGATTCGGAAGACCGAGCAGATCACCAAGAACATCCAGGAGCTGCTGCGGGCGGCTCAGGAGAGCAAGCACGAGAGGTGAGCTGGGGCGGCTGGAGCCCGGCGATCTGCGGTTTGGGTCGGCTGGGAACAAGACCCCTTTTTCTGGGAAGATTCATCCGCCTTCTCTCCCCCCTGCAGCTACGTTCCCTGCTCGGAGAGGATTCATCTGGCGGTCACTGAGATGGCAGCCCTCTTTCCGAAAGTAAGTAACGCTTGTTTGGTAAGAAGGGGGGGGCGTGGGGTGGAGCACCTGGGCAAAGGCTGGCCCAGGAGACGAGGTGAGAAGATCGTAGGGAAGATGGTCAGCAAGAGCAGAAAGTTCTGAAAGTCGGCATCCCTGAAATTTGTGGACACCGTCAAGAGGACAGGTGAGCATAGTCAGGTGTAAGTCAAGCAACACCCATAAAGCCTCGCAGGCAGGGAGGCCCTTCCTGGCGGTCCAGCCTCTTTCCCGTGTCTGGTTGGGGAAGGCTGATGGCAGCTGAATCCGTGGCACCCCATCGCTGGCATGGCGGGACGCCACAGGACAACTTTGCCCTCGGCTGCATTCATAGGTTGTTACCCTTTTCATGGGAAACCAGATTGGCCAAAATGTTCAGCGTTCCCCCTTTTTTTCCCAGAAGCCGCCATCGGAGCTGGTGCGCACCCCTCTGCGTCTGCTGACCTCCAGCGCCTTCCGCCTGCATTCCGAGTGCGCGAAGGCCCTCCCGCCCGAGTCTTGCTCCACGGCCGACGTCCAGCTGGTCACCCAGCAGGTCATCCAGTGCGCCTACGACATTGCCAAGGCTGCCAAGCAGCTGGTCACCATCACAACCAAAGAGAACGCCAACTGAGCGGGCTCCGTCCAGCACAGCTTCTGCTGTTGTCTTGGAAACTGTGTTCAGGTTTTCAGGGGATGCTCTTTTTTACAGGAATATTTAAAGCGGTGCGTTACCATTTTTTTAAAGGAAGCTCAGTATTAATTTTTTTGCATGTTTTTTTTTCTAAGAAGACTTTTTCCCAGGATTGCTATAATCCACTGCCTTATTTGGTGCTCTGTATTTGCCGGCATGGAGCGTGTGCGCTGGAAGTCAACCATCTCGAGTCAACCATCACCGTCTTGCAGGACTTTTTTGCTGTTACAAGGAGGGAGGTTTGAATCCTGCACTCTTTAACACCTGTTGCGAACTCGGGTGCCCAGATCAGAATTCAGGTACCTGCCCTGGAATCCTGCTGTGCAGTCGCTTGGCATTATTTGAACCACTAAGGAGCACCCCGCGATCTCTCGAGATACAGGGAATAGTCAGAAGGAAACCCCACTTTCCTGCTTGGTCTGTCTGGGGAGCAGAAGATGCTTGTGGCTGCGATTGGAAGGAAGAAGGGGCAGCCTCCCTCCCTCTGTCGGGGCCAAGGGGCAGCCCCTCCACTCCGGAGGCCAGCATCCGAGAAAGAGCCAGGCAGGCCCCCGGCGGCTCCTCATGCTGGACTTTCTGGAAAGTGCTTTTGCAAAATAACTATGCCTTGGGAGGCTTCGTGCCTTCCCCAATACGGAAAGCTCTTGTTACCTGCTCTTTTTCTATTATTATTATGATTCCCTGCCCTACTGATACGGATGCATGAGGGTCTTTTCTAGCGTGCCTGCGGAAGGCCTGGCCAGAAAAGGGGGCCCCGTGCAGGAGAGGTGGCCAAGCAGGGCCAGTGAGCGCCCAGCCTCTCCACTGGCAATTTGGGGGGGGGGTGTCAGGGAGGGAGAGCTGTTCAGGCAACCCGTTGTGCCGGCTTCCCCTCTGCGTCTGCCACGCCATCCCCACTGGTTACAGCACAGCAGGCCTTTTTGTATGAAGTATGAAGAAAGCACACGGTCAAGGCACAATGGCCAGTCAATGCAAAAAAAAAAAAAACATTTGGGGGGAGAAGTTGGGGGTCGCTTCCCCAGTGGTCATTCTCCCCCCCCCCGAGTCAGTGAGAGTTGGAAGCTTCCAAGCAAATGCAGCGGCTTGGCCAAGGCTGCCCAGCAGCCCCCAAGAATGACGGGTGAAGCAGCCAGCAGCCTGGCCTCCCTGTCCACGGGCTGCTCTGCCACCTGGCCCTGAGGACTCGCCTGCAGCCAGAGAGCAGCTGTCGGCTGCCCAGGGGGGGCCTGGCTTGCTCGGGCCCTGCCAGAACGGGGGCACGGCTGCTTCGTGGCTGTAGAGACAAGCTCCCCACCTCCATGTTAAAACCACAACTAAGTGAAGACTCTGCGGAGTGTGTGTGTACGTGTGTGTGTGTGTGTATGTAAATCTTAACATGTATAAAAACAAGTGCCATAATATTTTGAATGCTGGTATTTCATTGTAGCTCTGTTTTTTAAAAGTTTTGTGCTATTTTGGGGGGGGGGCAGTGGAAAGGAAATCGGTAGAACAATCTTCAGATTGCCCATCGCTTGCTGTCAGCATTTCTGGTCAGCAGCAGGCCAGAGAAAACCAATTAAAAAAGAAAATAGCATTTTATTGACCCTCTAAGCCACCCACCCACCTTCATTGCCACTCTTCCGTCCTGGGGGAAGGCAGGAAGACCACTCCGGGGTGAGCCAGTCCACCCTCCTAGTCTCCTAGCATCCCTGCCAGCTCCAAGCAGCTGGCAAAGAGGTTTTCAGCCATCCAGACCCGAAAGGCAGAATCTTCTTTAGCTCCAGGCAGCTTTTGGGTAACTGTGGCACTAGAAAGGGGCGGGGCAGACGCAGGATCAGACCCTCCCTCTGGGAAAGAGCACCGAGGGGGTCTCCACTCCCGGAGGGCAGCCCTGAGCCCCAAGACTTGTCCTCAACAGAGCAGCGCCCCTCCAGGGCCCTCTGCCACACTTCAGCCGTCCTAGGTTGGGGTCCCCTCAGGGCAGCGGCTCCCACCTTGTTGCGATAGCCGGCCTCCGCCATGCGCCTGGCCTCCAGCTCCTCCAGCCGCGCGTGCTGCTCTTCTTGCAGCCGGGCCTCTGCGGCCGCCTCTTGCTGGCCCTGGAGCTCCTCCTGTTGCTGCCGCTGCCGCTCCGTCAGCTGAAGGGAGAGAAGGCCAGTGTGGGACGGGGCACCTCTCAGCCCAGCCGGCCCCACGTGACTCGGCAAGGAGGCCCCACCTGGGCCTGCTGCTCCTCCTTGCGGGCCGTTTTCCGCTCCGCCTCTGCCTCCTGTTCCCGTTGCGTCAGCTGCCAGGCCGCTTCCAGCTGCTGGATCAGCTGCTCCCGGACCCTCACGGACTCCTGCTGGGCCTGCCTGTTCCGCTCCATCTTCTGCTGGATCTGCTGCTCCCTCTCGGCCAGGACCTGTTGGGAGCCGAAGAGTGGGAGGGCTGAGCAGAGACCCGCCCCTCCTTGCTTTGGAAGAGCTGCCCCCCCCACCCCTCCCCCCAAAGTCTTGCTCTCACCTCTGCCATGAGCCTCTCCCGGGCCTTCCGCTCTCTCTCCCACTCCTCCTCTCGCTTCTCCCAGACTTGCCTGGCTTCCTCCCTGGGAGGGGCGAGGGAAAGAAAGGACGGGGAGATGCCCAGCAAGAGGCAGCACCCATCCCCACCAGAACCTTCTCTGCGGCCAAAGGAACTCCTGTGTTTGCTGAGGGGTTGGGCACCCAGCGTCTCTGCCCCCCCCCGTTTTGCCCATCCACAGATGCCTTGGGGAGATGAGGATCCTGGTTCCCCAATTGACCCTTCCACCTCAGCCCTCCCCGGCAGCCTTTGCTTCGACCTCCCCCCCTTCCCTGGTGCTCCCTCACCTAAAGATAGTCTCCAGCTCCGCCTCTCGTTCTCTTTCCAGCTGCAGCTGCTGTTCAATGACTTCCTTCATCCAGGCCACTGCAGCCACGGCTTCTTCCCGCCGGGTGGACTGCAGGCGCTGGTCCTCCTCCTCCTTCTCAGACAGGGACAGGAGGATCTGCCTGTCCTTCTCCTAGAATCACAGGGCCACAGGAAGCCACCGTGGCTTGTCATGCTGTGGCTTCCATGCAGGCAGAGAAGGGCCTTTGCAGCCACTGCATCCCTGATCTTTGGGGGGACCACTCCTGCAGGCAGAGCCCACCGGAGCAGCTGCCTCCTGCCCCGGTGGACAAGCTTACCAGCTCTTCCTGGACCTGCCGAGCCCGTCTCCGTAGCTGGGCCTGGACCTGATGCTTCAGAAAGCGCCTGGGGAAAGAAGCGGGCATGAAGTAAGCAGGCAGACGGCCCTGGGAGCAACCTGGGCCAGCAGACCCTGGGAAGGTTTGCACTTCCCAGCAGAGCCTCTGCAAAGAGCGCACCTGGCTGGGCCCAGCAACAGCTCCAATAATGGAAGATAATAATGGAATTATGGAAGACTAGACAGTGGGGGTGAGCGGCTCCCTCTGGCAATTAACCCCCCCCCCCTTGCGTTCTCACTGTAGCCTCCTAGACAAGCTCTCATGTGTCTCTCAAACTCTCATGTGTCTCTGCAGACAACTCCCACAGCTGGACAATGGATTACGCCCCCTCCTTGGCTGCCTCCTCCTCCTCCTCCTCCAAGAGCATCTGGAGAGAAGCTGCCTCTCCCCCCCCCCCTTCATCACCTACCCAAGCTCCACTTTCTTCCGCTGCTCATCGTTCAGCTTCCGCTCAGCTTCCACTGCTTGTAGCTTCCAATGTTGCTTCAGCAGGCTCTCCTCCTCCTCCTTCAGCTGGGTGGCCTGGCAAGGGGAGCAAGAGTGAGGGCTAGAGAACTCTCTCTCTCTCTCTCTCTGACCGCCTTTGCCTTTCCAGTCCCCAAAAGCCAGAACAGAGCAGGTGTGCAGTTATGGGCTGAAGGAGGGCAAGCAAGCCGAGGAATCCGAATAGAAAGGAGGTGATCTGTGGATCCAGAAATGGGACAGCCTGCCTCCCCTTGATGCTCTGGGATGGGATCGCTACAGTGGGCTCTCCGCGGATCCGCCCTTTGCGCACCTGCACGTCCCGCAGCTGGAGCTCCGCCATCTGCTGCCGCAGCATCTCAGCCTGCTTCCTCTCCGCCTGCTTCCTGCGCTCCTCCGCCTGCTTCAGCCGCTCCAGGGCCTCTCTGTGGGCCTTCTCGTACTGGTTCTCTGAGCGGAGTTTCTCTTCCTGATCTGCCGCTTCTCGCTCGTTTGGGAGGAAAGCAAAGCAGGCATTAACCTCTGCCTACCCTCCTCCTGGGCAGGTACGGAGGGAGCAGGTGGGCTTACCTGTTGCTTCTGTGCCAGCTGGTCCCCCCAGGCCTCCACCACGTGCTTCTTGTGCAGCTCCGAGCTCACCTGAGGTTCAGCAGAAACAGCGGCGTCCTAGTCCGCCCGGGAGACGCGCCAGGCTGCTTCTCCCCCCCCCTCCCGCCCAGAAGGCTCCCCACCTCTCGCAGCTTAGCGCTGTTCTTCCTCCAGCACTCGTAGAGACGCTCTTCCGCCACCTGCGAGCCAAGCCGAGCAAGGGATGCAATTGGAGCCGCGGCCCCGGCGCCCGACCGGCGCCCCCCCCGGCCCCCTCCCCAGACCCGGGGCCAGACCTGCTTCCGCCGCTCCTCCCTGGCCGAGCGCAGCTCCTGGCTCCGCTGCCGCTTCTCCTCCAGCTCGGCCTCTCCGCCGGGCCGCAGCCCCCGCAGCTCGGCCGCCAGACCCTCGCGCTCCCGGCACAGCAGCTCCCGCAGCCGCCGCCGCCGCCCCTCCAGGCCCGCCGCCGCCGCCGCCCTCAGGCGCTCCCGGCCGTGCGCCTCCATGCTGCGGGCGGACAGAGAGAGCGAGGGAGGGAGGGAGGGAGGGAGCGGGGGGTGGTCAGACGTGGCGCCCCCGCCCCCCTCGCCTGCCCCCCTCCCCGCCCCCCGCCGCGCCCCCCCCGCTCACCTCCGCTGGAAGCTGCGGCGCGAGCTCCACTCGGCCTGCTTGAGGCTGCGCAGCCCGGACTGCTGGAAGGAGCGGCTGTGCAGCTCCCACTGCCGGCGCAGGCGGGCCTCCTGCTCCCGCCGGCGCACCAGCTGCTGCTCCAGGACGCGGCTGCGGCTGCCCCAGAACGGCGGCACGGCGGACACGTCCATGGCGGCGGCGGCGGCGGCGGCGGCGGCGGCGATGCCCGGGGAGGCGCGGCGCAGTGACGTCACGCAGAGGCCCGGCCGCGCGTCCTGACATCACCCGCTACGCCGCCGCGGGATAGTTCCGGCGCCTCCGAAACCGCGCTCGCCGCCTTCGACGCGCGCCTGAAGGCACCCCGAACCCCGCCGCTGCCTCCGCGCGAATGGCCAACGGTCCGGGTTCTTCCGGCGCCGCCGGGCGTCTCTATGGCAGCGCTTCCTGTCTCGTTACAGGGGCCGCCGAGGGACAAGAGGTCCCGTTTCGCTCAAAGGGCGGAGCCGAGGCGGGACTGTTGGAATTCCCATAGAGCTAAGAAAATTGAGAGGCATCCTCCAGGTCTCCGCGCAGAGGGCTTCCGGGTGCGCTCTTCGGAACCTCCTCCGGCCCCGCGCTCGACGGATCTGCCGCCGCCGCGGCCGCGGAAGGGAGGAAGAGGCGCCTCCGTCCCCTTTGGGACTCTCTGCAGCGCCCTGTCTCGGGCAAAGCCAGGGAAGGCTCACAACAGCCTTGCAGGGTAGCGCAAGGCTTCGCCCCCACGCCGCTCCGAGGTCACCGCTCCGCCGGCTGCGCCTCCTTTTTGGGCAGCGAGCGCAACCCCGATCGGGCGCCGGGCGGAGGGGCAGGGGGGCCGCCAGCCCGCTTTCCGCCTGGCGATGCCCGGGAACCCCCACGAGGCCCTTCTCGCTCGCCCGGACTGGAGGGGGCAGGAGGCGCTCCTCCTTCCCGGCGCCGGCTGCCGAGCGGGGTCTTCAGAGCGGCGAGCCGGACTGCCGCACCCATCATCCCCAGCTGGGCTTGCGGAACCCGAGTCGGCCCGTCGCGCTTCCGAAAGGCTGGCTGGCTCCGGGCTGGCGACCCCGAAGCCTTGGCCGCGGCTCCAGATGTTCATCTGACCCGTCGAAGCGTGGGCAGCGCAAAAGCTTTCTGCACATGGTCAGAGGATGTGCCGCCCCGTCTTTGCTTACTGCTGCTTCGAAGCCGGGGTCACCCTGAGATCTCGGTGCCTCGCCCCGGGCTTTTCGCCCAGGGAGAGTCGAGCCCGCCTCGGCCGCCCGGATCCGAGGGTGCTGCCGCTCAGCTGTCCGGGGAGCGCCCGGGTTCCCCCCCCCCCGTTGCTGGCTTGGGGATAGACTGCCCCTGGGCCAGGCGGCTCTTGCGGGAGGAGGCTCCGCGGCGCCCCGCCCCCCTCGGGGGCGGCCATGCCGAGCTCCACCCCGACGGCCGGATTCCTTCTGCCGAGTCGCCGGGTCGGACTGCTGGGCTCCCGCCATGGCGCTGCTGCTGGAGTACGAGTTCCGGACGCTGCCGGCCGATAAGCAGATCGACACGGAGCCCTTCCTGGAGGCCGTGACGCACCTGCCGCCCTTCTTCGGTGAGTGGCGCGCCCCTCGACCCCGGAGGCGCCCCGGCCGGGCGGGCTTGCGGGCTCCCGAGCAAAGTTTCCCCTCGGCACAACAGCCCTGCAGGGGAGGGCAGCGTTGCTGGGAGAGCGCTGAGGGCGACCTGAAGGGCGGGGGAGGGACTTGGGGGTCCCGGGCGGCCGTGCGAAGGGGCGACTGAGGACGGACGGAGGCGTCGCTGAGCCTGATCAGCCTCCTGAGACCGGTTCGCCCACCCACCAGCCGGGGCACTCCTGCTCTCTGGAGGGCTGTGGTCTGTGGATGATGGGTTTTACGGTCCAGAGTTTATCTTCCACTGGAGCTGAGCCTATGCCAAGCTGGAGCCCCTTGGGGGAGGGGGGTGGGCAGTGCAAGGCCACTTTTAAAGGGGCCCTTTGAACCCCGCCACTTTCCCCAGCGGAGGCCCGGATCGATCACCTGTCGAGGCTTTGCAAAGTGGCAGATCTTTCCAGGTGCTCCAGCGGGCCAAAAGGGGGCAGAAGTTGCCAGACCGGCTTAAGGGATGCAAAGCTTTTGCAGAGAATGTGAAACGGAGACTTTAATTCTTAAATAAACTGAAGGGCAGAAATGTCAGGAATCAGGAATCCCTTTTTCCAGTCGAGTCTGGTTTTCTTTTACTCCTTTGGGGCAGAACGGTGCTGTCGCTACATATATAAAATTAAACCTGATCTTTCATTAAGGTCTGTGCTTTGGGGCATGTGCAGAGAGCCCCAGTCTGGTTGCCTTTAACGTGGTCTTCCCTGCACCAGAGGCTACCCTGCCCCGGGTTAAGTCTTTTCCCCATCTCTTGCAATTCTCCTCATCAGCCCCCCCCCTTGGGCATCTCACTCTCTGAACCCCAAGCCCGGGGGGGGGGGGCAGCCAAGAGGCTTGTGGAAATGGGATCTCTGGACTGTCAGCTAACAGACGTAACTGACACCTCTAGAAATTCAGCCAAGCCTCCTTCAGTCCTTCTCTGCTTTCCAAACAATAAAGGTCTGGAAAGGCCAAACGGAGCCCTTTTGTTTCGGGATGGGTTCCAAGGTGGAAAAGAGGGGGTGCTCACCTCAAAACACGAGCAGGGTGTCTTGGTGGGCTTATGGCATGGCTCAGCTGAGCCACTGCAAGGTTTACGTTAGTTCAGTGGGAGAAAAAACTGCCTTCCTTCGAAGAACTCGGGGCGGGGGGGCAATCTGAGGACCCTGTTTGCTCTGTGGAGGAAGCTAAGAGAGTCGGTGGGCTTTTCCCCTCCCCTGCAATGACCACTGTAGAAAAATGGACACTCCATGGATAGGAGCAGCCTACCGGGGAATACTGGTCACTAGACAATGCTGCCTCATTCGGGGCCTTCTTAGATTGGCCCCTGAACTCCTTCATTAAGGGCCCCTTTAAGGCTTTGGGGGAGGCTCCGGTGGCCCCACGCGACCGCAAGAGCGTTCCATCCCCGGGGTTCCTGTGGATCCAGACCCCCCCCTCTGCATAACCGGTGAGTGGCTTACGAGCAACGTCACCCTCAGCCTTGGCTCTGCCTAGCAAGCTTCCCCTGAATCCCCCCCCCCGCAGAGCTGCCCCAGTGCAGCTGGATGGCAGGTTGCTCCCTTCCCCTTATACTTGAAACCTGGGGGCCCACCAAGGGGCTTTGCCACCCCTGCCAACGGCTGAGCGATCCTGAAAGCAGGCCGCCTTTTCTGCTGGGGACATGCTGCTAAGCCTGGTCTGCCTGCTGCTTCCCCCGGGCCAGACTCGCTGGCTGCTTATCTCCCTCCCCTCCCCACAGTGGGAAAAGCTCCCAGGGCCTGCTGGGTGTGCCAGCCTCTCCCTTCTCCCTTGTGCAATCCTCAGCGGGCGGATTGCATCACCAGACGCCTTCGCCAGCAGCCTGGCAGACTCTGCGCAGGTCCTGAGACCCTCTCTGCCCTGGGCCGGCCCTGCGCCTCCAGGACCAGCCCCCACACTGGAGGGGGCCCCTTGGTCTGGGAAGGAGCCGGGGGGGCCTTTGGCTGCAGGCGGTGCCGAGTGGCTGCCAAGAGGCTCTCAGCCATTCCAGAAAGCCAGTGGGGGAACGAGAAGAACAGGAACGGCTGGGGTACTGCTCTGGGATCTGGAGGAAGAGGCAGACTTGCCCCGAGGGCCGTGTGGCGAAATAGGCGTCCCCAGAGCCCAGACACCGAGCCACAGCTTTGTTCCCCGTACCCCAAAACCAACTCTGAGCAAGCGGACAAAGCCTGCTTTGAAAATCTGGCTTCGTGCTGGCAAGCTGGTTCACTTGGCCTTCAGGGAAGCCCCGCTGTCCACCCCCCCACCCCCCACCCCCCCACTGCTTCCATCTACTTCCATGAAGTGCTGCAAATGCCAGATCTAAGCAACCTCACCCGTAGGAGCTGTTTCTTCGCTTAAGCAGAGGGTTACATAGCGCCTGCATTGCAACATAGTGACTCTGGGGGGCTAATAATCCACAAAAGCCAGAATATGCTGTAATGCAAACTTTAACTTCCATCAACGATACAACGTTTATGTGTCCAATAAACCACCTTAAAAGAAAAAAAACTAACCAAGCTCACACCCCACCTTCAACACACATTCTGGAGACCTTTGCTCTCTCCTCCGCAGACTGCCTGGGCACCCCGCTTGTCTACGCCCCAGTGAAGGCGGATCTCTCCGGGAACATTAAGGTAGGGAAGGCCCCAATCCTGGGGCTCTGAGGAAACAGGGAGGTGGGTTTGAGCCGGGATCAGCCCCAAGCTGGCATCGTGCCGCCAGGGGTTGTTTGCATGTGGTTGTTTATGTCTATTGTGGCTTGCAAATCAGGCCACTGTGAGTCCAGCTCCTGGGAAGGGAGCTCTGTGCGAATCCCGAGGCACTAAGCGGGAGCATCAGCTCCATAGGAAGCAGGATTCAGGGGGCTGCTAATCAGAACAGGCCCCCGTGGCCCCCTCTCCCGCCAGCTGGACCCAAACCACCCCTGGGTCGAACTCATGATTCTCTTTTGGTTCAATTTCAGAAAATACGGGCGGTTTACGAAACAAACCCAGCCAAGTTCAAAACCCTTCAGAACATCTTAGAAGCAGAGAAGGAAATGTACGGGCCGGCGTGGCCAAAGGTGGGGGCCACCTTGGCCCTCATGTGGCTGAAGAGGTGAGGGGGTGACCGCAAAGCCCCTTCTGCTTCTGAGGGGCGGCTGGAGGACCTCACAGGGGCCCAGCTCAAGGCGGGGGGGGGGGACGGACTGGCAGCCTCTCAGAAACTTTTCTCCTCCCCCTCCCCCTAGGGGTCTCAAGTTCATCCAGGTCTTGCTGCAGAGCCTTTGCGATGGCGAGCAGGACAAGGACAACCCCAACCTGATCCGCGTGAACGCCACCAAAGCCTACGAGCTGGCCCTGAGGAAGTACCACGGCTGGATTCTGCAGAAGCTTTTCCTGGTGAGCCCCCAGGGGGCCGAGGGGGGCTCCAGCAGAGACCCCAGCCTGCCTGGGGAGGCTGGGGGGTACCTGGGGGAGGGTGGCAACACCCCTGGACCTCCCCTTCTTCAAAGGCTTTGGGGGTCTTCAGGACTGAACGATTCTAGCTCTGGCCCTGGGGGGGGGGAGGGGGCAAAGGCAGAAAAGCCAAAGCTGCCGCCGACTGACTCGCTTCCCTCCCCAGGGCTCCGTCTACGCTCTGCCCTACAAGTCAGACCTGCTGAAGGCCCTGGAGAAAGGCCAGGACGTCAAGCAGGAAGAGACCCTTGAAAAGATCCACCAGTTCTTGTCCAAAGCAACACCCATCCTCGACACCATCTATGAGATGTACACAAAAATGAACGCAGAGCTGAACTACAAGGCTTGACCAGGCCCTCCCCTCCTTTGCCAGCCTGGGCCAGCCCCTTTGCCTCCCCTCCCTCCCCTCTGAAGCCCAGCAGGTGCCTTCCAGCCTCTCCGGGTCACTCTGCAGGTGGCAGAGGCGTGTCTTTTGCCGCCTTCCTCTAGTGGCCTTTCTGCTTCTGGGGACATAAAGGGGGGGGGCAGCCCGGCCCTGCTCACTGGGGCTGCCTGCCAGGGAGAGCCTTGTCTTCCTCTGAGCTTTGGATCGCGCACAAGAGACACCCTTTGTGCCCTAGGACTGGCTAGTGCACAGCCGTGCCACCAGCCGTGCCAGGAGGGTGCGTAACGCAGGAAAGCCTCGCCCCTCGGGGCTGCTTCACCCCTCGGGAGGCGGCTTTCTGGCCGTGGGGCCACCGTGGGCTTCCCTTGCCTTCTTCTGGGTGGCTTTTAACTTCTCATCTGACATCCTGGCTGATTCAGCCAACCCAGAGCGGCTGGACTTCGGTGACTTTTCCGAGCGACTCTTGGGGTGAACATCCACGAGGCCTCTTTGCACAACGGATTTCTTCAGGGAACTGACTCTGGCTTAAAACCTGCTGTTATTTTCCAGGGCATAAAAACTATGCCAAGCCTTAATGGTGTTACTACTGCTTGATGCCTTCTCTGGGTGGTTTTAGGAAACCTAACCGTTGAATTAAAATTTAATGAGAGAGGTGTGCAATTTCTTTTGGTTTGCCCAAAGAAGACTCGTGGGAGGGGCAGCTAAACCACACTGGCTGGGGATTATGGGGGTTGAGGGTAAAGCCTTTTCGGCTAGTGGCCAACCCAGATGTTGGCACCTTTACGATACCTACTTGGGTCATATGTGGATAAATATTGCTTTAATTAATGCACCCAAACTAATTTGAAAAGACCTTTTAGGTAGCCCATGTGTTTATTTGCAACTCCACATTCGTGAATCTGGAGAAGCGGGCAACCCACCTTCTCAGCTGGTCCTGTTGCACCCAGTAGATGGCAGGCATCTTGGGAAGGGTGGGCATTGCCCATCACGCTCACTTAACAGGGCAACTGGACTGCTAGCTGGCATTTGCTGCATCAGACCAGCAGTGGGCAGCCTTTCCTCACAGATGGACTGGCAGACAATTGGGGAGGGGAGAAACTCCTACTGCCACCAGTTCTTGTCCAAAGGGAGGGAGGGGTCGGCAGAGGCAGCCCTCCAAGTTTTGCAGAAGGAGAAAAAGTTGATAAGGATCCCTTTGGGGCTGAGTGGGCCGTGGGGAGTTGAGTCCTTGGACTCAAGTCATGGGTCGGGTTCCTCTCTCCCCCCCCCACCGTGTAGGGTGCCCAATCCTCTGAGCCCCAGCGGAGTGTTGTCTCAAGGGCCCCTGGGCTGCAGCCTCCCCCCTTTGCTTTTCAATCCCCCCCCCCATCAGCTCCTTGCACTCCTGCTGTCCCCGGGTCAGGGGTGCAGCCCAGGCCTGTTTGGGCTGGCCAGAAAAATTCCTCCGTCCGGCATAACTCTAAGCCCTTGGCTGCTCCGTGCCAAAGCCATCAGCCCAGCCGGAGGGAGGGAGGGAGGGAGGGGCTAGCTGGCAGGCCCCGAGACTCAGAATGGGGTTCTAGTCTGGTGGGGAAGGTGGCCCTTCACCCAAGGAGCCCAGAGGGAAAAGGCGGAGGGATTGCAGTTCCCCTCCGCCCTCTCCGCCTTTGGGGCATGCAGTCCTGTCCTGCCCAGCAATCCAGAGTGGCCAGGAAGATGCCCCCTCCCCTTGTGGTAGGCAGTTCCGTAGTCTCTTTGAAATGCTCCCAGGCTCTCCTGTCCTTGGATGATCCGGCTGGATTCTACACCTGCCAGAATCCTATTTGTTCCAATTTCTTCTCTATTTGTTCCTATTTGAGAATGATTTTTAAAGACCCCTCTCTCTTTACCCCCCCTTCAGTCTTAGAACTTTTACTCCTTGGGAGTTCTCCACCATCTCTTGCCAGTTTTCTGCCCAGCTGCCTGCAGCTTTTCTGCAGAAAAGGGGGAAGAAACTCACTTTGTTGTGCCCCTCTAGTTAACTGGAGAGAGAATAAAAAAGCTACTAAAAGGTGTTTTTTAGTCCCACCTGGGCTCCACCCTTGCCAAAAAAAATGTTGCCAGGCTACAGGCAGTTAAGGAGCTGGGTGTGTGCACAACACTTTTCAAAACGTTTAAAGAAAAAAGTTTACTTCCACTCCTTGTTCGTTTTCCCACCTGCAGGGGATCCTTTCTGAGGCAGCCAGCAAGAGTTGGGTTTGGTCTGGGGGAGGGATTTCCTTTGGTACAGCCCCCTGCACCCCGCAGAGGGGAGACCCCCATCTGTCTCTGGGCTTGTCTTGAGGTCAGAGGTTTCAGAGGGGGAGCAGGGGAGCCATCCGGGAAAGTGGGAGGGGGGGTTGCTCTTGAGAACACCTGGGGCGTTCTGGCGAACGTCTCCCCCCCCAGGACAGACGGGGGGGGGTTGTCAGGCGAGTGACGTCTCTGCAAGGATGGTCTGGCCAACTCGGGGGCGTCCGAACTCCTTCGCTCCGCGGGGAAGGCAGGGGAAGGAAGCGGGGTGGGGGTCGTGTCTCTTGCGCTCTGCAGTTGGGCTCCCTCTGCGCGGAGCCGGAGATCCACGCGCGGGGGAGCTGAAAGCAGAGCAGCCCGTGCGGCGCCGGGGGATTTTCGGCGGAGGAGACTGGAGACCGGGCGCTAAGGTGAGCAGGGCGCCTCCGCCTGGGAGGAAGGGGCTGGGCTGGGGTCGGGAGGGGGAGGGGCGTGGCTGGGTCTCCCCCCCCCCCGGCTCCCTCTGGACACGTCCAGGGAAGGCGGCTCCAGGAAGGGCCGTGTGGCTGCTCCTCCTGATTCTCAGGCCCTGACCCCTCCCTCCAGCTCTCCGGGACTCAAGCGCCCATCATCCCCAGCCAGGGCAGCCAAAGGAGCCCAAAGAGCCCCAGGCGCTTTCCCTCCAGAGCCTGCGGGGGTCTTCCCGGGGCCTCTAGCCCGTCGAGGTCGGAAGAAGAGAGATTAAACGTTCAGCGAGGCGCAGTTTTGGGCCCTTGTGAGGCCATCTTTCCGGCCAGCCTCGGAGGCCGCTGCCGGACTTTGGGGAGGTGGGATTCGCTCGCTTGCGGTGCCTTCCCCGGCGAGACCGAAGAGCTGCCGCGCCGCCACTCAAACGGGCAACGTGGACTAAGAGAGCCTCACCCGTGCGCCCCCCCCCCACACACCACAGGCCCGGAGCTGAAGGGGCCAGCAGTGGGCTCGGTGAGACACCCCCCCCACTCGGAATCTGGCCCTGCCGGCTTGGAAATAGGCTTACTTCCTGACTAGAGACTGTCGGCAATTCAGAGCGTAAGTCAGATTCCTGTCCAGCTTCAGCTCCGAGGCAGGGGAGCCCCCAGCTCTCTGTCCCACTCGGGGATCCTTGGCCTGCCCTTCAGGGTTGTTGTCAAGAATCCCTTCCACTCCGCGCGGGGCAGAGGAATTACAGAAGGGAGCTGGCCCGGCCGGGCAAAAAGCACTTTTCTCCTGCCCTACAAAGGATGGGCAGGACCAGAATTCACTCCCCGTGTTTTCCGCACTGTTTACTGGGTGGAGTTGAGTCTTGCAGCTCCACAGATTCAGTTATGGCTCCGGTTTTTGGTGGGACAGAATGATCTAATTTTGCCCGTATTCCCATTAACAGCCCCACCTTTGAAGGTGGAAAGGCCAGTGAGTCATGCAGGGGTGCAACAGCAGCTCTCTTCCTTTTAAAGTATGTGCCGTTCTTGCCTCAGCCATCTTCTCCCCCCCCCCTCGAAACTGAAGGTGACCAGGCTTTGGGCTCTGCTGGCTGATCTCCAGCCTTTGGCCTGAGGGGGGAGGGGTCCTCCCTCGCTCCCCAGGACCCAAAGGGAGCCTGTTTGGGCATGTTGATTAATCCTTTGAGCTGTGAAATTTCCAAACACTTAAGCTGCAGGATAGCCAGGAGGCTGGCGTGCAAAAGCCTCGGCCCCCAGCCCCCCAAGACCGACAAAACACATCTTGGAGAGGAGTCCTGTGCTCTGTGGACTCTCTGGCAGGGCGGGGACCCCAGCGCTGCCAGCGACACAACCACATCAGAGGAGACGAACTGCGCCTTCCGGCCAAGCTCAGAGACATGCAGCCTTGCTCTGTCCCGGCTTGCGTGTCCCCAGCTGCCTCTGGGGCTGCAGGATGAGCTGGGCTGGACCGCGCCTCCCTCTGCCCGGGGAGAGAGGGGTTCCAGCCTGGAGCCCCCTCCCCACCCCGGGCTTCCTGGGCAGCAAGACCCCCAATAAGACAATGCTTCCTGTTTTGGAAGGGGGTGGCACCCCTCCCCCCTGCGCGAGGAGGAGGCCTCCCTCCCAATGGGGCTGGCAAGGAAGCTCCTTGCGGTGATGCTACAAATGGAGGCTTTGGAAAGCTGTGGTGGGGCAGCGGAGTTGGTTCTCAAAATAGGGCTGGGGGAGGGGAGGGCCTCTCTTGCACACAGCCGCTTTTGGGGGGAGCTGTAAAGGTTCGGGACGAGTTCAGGGGGGCCTCGGATTGCTTCAAAGCTCTCAAAAGGGACAGGGGAAAAGTCCTTGTAAAAGAGCTGCGGGGCGAAGATGGGCTGGCCAGAGAGCCGAGGGGGGCGGTCTGCTTGCCGGAGGGGGCCACCCTCCCCCTTGTTTGTCCAACTACTGATCTGGATCCTTTGATCCCGGAGGAGGAGAGCGCCCCCTCCCACCCAGCAAATTCCTGCTCTGGATAGCTCAGATTAGGGAACCGCTTTGCCTGAACTCTGCTCAGCTCCTGACTGCCTGGGCAGCGAGGAGCTGGTCAACTTAACCGGGGGGCTCTGCGTCCCACCAGGATGTGCCCGTGACTTCCCACAACGTTTTGTTCCCTGCAAAGATTTTCACTATTCAGGCTGCCTTGTGGGTCTTGTGTTCTGGCCTGGACACCCCAGAAGCGACTTTAGTGAACCTTCTATCCTATCCGTGGTCTCCGAGGGTTTTCTGATCACCCTAGAGAGGCAGCTGAAAGGACTTGCAGCTCCTCTGCCCCCACCCAGCTGAACCCGCCTGCCTG